CTCTTCCACGCAAGGGGGGGCTCTTCCACGCGTGTCCTGAGTCTCTGCCCTCGCAGGTGGGAGAACAAGGACGTGTACGCCGCAGCCATCCGGAGCTTGAGGATGCGAGAGCTGCAGACTCCGGAGTGCATGACCGCGGTGCGCGCTGGGCTTGGGTCCATCATCCCCCTGCAGCTGCTGACGACGCTGACCCCTCTGGAGATGGAGCTGAGGACGTGCGGGCTCCCGTACATCAACCTGGAGTTCCTCAAGGTGGGAACAACCGCGGCAAAACGGACCTGGCTGACACGTGGAGGGGGAGGATCCTCCCCCGTGGAAGGGCTTAGGGGAGAACCTTCTGCTTGTGATAGAGCCAGGACGGTCCCTGTGGAACACTGGTGTGTGCTTGGACACCCCCCTTTGCCCCCAAGAAGTGTTTAAAGATTTTGCTGGATTCAGGAAATAACAGGAGTGGGGCTTGTTCTGTTCCAGAGAGGAATAACGAATTTACTTTTTAACATCAAATTTTAAATCCATCTCCATTTTCTTGAGCTTTTTTCAATATCTGCCACTTGAGCTAAAGGCTGAAAGAGCCATTGCCCTGATTTTGAATTGCAAATGGTTTCTGAAAGGCTGAAATGAATCTGTAACGGACAGCTTCTGGTCCTAAATACTTTCATTTTGTTACCATAAGAATTTTGCTGTAAAAAGAACATTTCTCTTGTGTCAGAAGCTGCAGAATACGCTCAGGTTACGGGCATTGGCATTGTTTTGTGCTCTCCTTGAACAGCAGCAATGCTGACCTGCCCCAGTCCTGCCCGTTGAACAAAACAGCAACGTACTCGACGGCAGTACAGGGCAGGCGTGCTCTGATGAGCCTGTGACAGGCGCTGATGGGCTAAAAAGACAGAAAACCACAGTCTGCTGTGGCTGGTTTCCTGGTTACTTTGAAAAGGCGGGAGAACTTGGGGAGAGCGGTGTAGTTACCCTCCCTCTGCGCTCTTGGAGCGTACGCGGGGAGGAGTTCTGAAGGGAGAAGGCCGCAGGGGACATCTTGCCTTCTGTTCTCCTAGGCACACACCATGTACCAGGTGGGCTTGATGGAAACGGACCAGCACATCGAGTTCTTCTGGAGCGCGTTGGAGATGTTCACCCAGGAGGAGCTCTGCAAGTTCATCAAGTTCGCCTGTAACCAGGAGCGGATCCCCTTCACCTGTCCCTGCAAAGACGGAGGCCCCGATACTGCCCACGTCCCGCCGTACCCCATGAAAATCGCGCCCCCCGACGGCGCTGCAGGTATGTCCGGCTCCTGAGGCCAAGAAAAAACCCGTTCTGCTCGCGCCGTGGTTGTAGGGGCGGTTCCCTTTCTTCAGCTGAAGCGTGTATTTAGTGCCGAAGGAAGGGAAGAGAGGCAGGGAGCTGTGGCTGTGGCGATGAAGAGAGAAAACTTGTCTTTAAACCATGTAAAAATAAAATCTAAAATAAACTTTAACTGCTTGAAACATTGCCTCTAGAGACAGCGAGAGACTTTAGAGACTGTTTGTCTCGTACGCTCCTAAAGTGGTTGGGCTGTTGGCAAGACAGCGGGCCGAGGCCTGACGGTGGGATTTGAGGCTCAAGGGACACGGGCAGGAATTTTATTTCGATCTTTCCCAGCGAGGGGCGGGAGGAGGGAGCTGTTGGAGAATCAGGTGGAGAGCGGCAGGCGTGCTCAGACCCTTCTGGTGCTTCTTCCCCTGCAGGTTCTCCAGACTCCCGGTACATCCGTGTGGAGACGTGCATGTTTATGATCAAACTCCCGCAGTACTCCTCGCTGGACATCATGCTGGAGAAGCTCCGATACGCCATCCACTACCGGGAGGATCCGCTCAGCGGCTGAGGGGGAGAAGGGGATGCCTAGAGGCGACTGCCTGGGTGGTTTCGTGACTCTGCTGACGGTGGAAACCCTTCGATTCACGTGAAAATACCTCCTGTGACACTGTGTGACGAGCTGGAGGTTAATTTATTTTCTGAACTTCTGTTCCCGTTACAATGACGACTTACATTTTGTATTTGTAGACTTTGTGGTGGACTGGTTATTTTGCTGCCTTGTTTGTGGAATATTTGTAGGATAGTTTAGTAAAGACCGGTTTGTGTATAATTTAATTTTGAAAAACCTTTAAACATGTACATTTCTAATTTTGTAACGTAGAACAACATTACCCATGCAAACACAACAAGAGCGAGGGCGTTCTGAGGTGGGGAGCACTCAGAGGTGAAGGCTCGTAGATTGCTCCCCCCTGAAACATTTTTGAGTACAAAAATGGAAAGAATCGGGTGCGGGGAGGGAATCGCTGCGGGAGCGGAGCACGGTACCTCCTCTGTCGTGGGCAGAGATGGTGCAGAATTTCCAGCACTTATGAGTTTTAGAGCAGAAAATACGCTGCCAAACTGCATGTTTACGTTTCCACCATTTTCTTGTAACTTTTTAGACTGTAAGCAAGCACAGGGGTAGCCGCCGCAGCTAGTTGGGGGTTTCAGCTAGACACGTTTGGTTAGGAAGATTTCTAACGGAAAGAACAGTGAAAGGGCCGTAATTCAGTTGGGTTCTTGCCCTCGATGTTCTTGAGTGTCCGCTTTGCTTAGTAACAAAATAATTTATTGTAATTAAAATATTAGCAGAAACAAAATGGCTTCTCTCTGTATGGTGTAAGATAGCACAGTTCAAGCTCATAATCCGTGACTTAATCCTATTTCCGAATAAGCTTTCGGAATAACCAGTGTGTGGCGAGACACCTGTAACTCGTTTTTGTACTCAAAAATGATCTTTGATCTAAGAGCCAGTTCTCCTGGAGACGTGACACCCGAAAGGAGGATGAGGTGGGGGTAAGGCACAAAGTTACGCGTTTTTGAAGACAAAGCTTCTGTTTTCTGTGGAAAGCCAATAGCAGACTGCGGGGGGAGAGAGACAGAGAGAGAGAGGGGGAGAGAGAACGATTCTCTAGGTTTAACTTTTCGGTTGGGTGTGAAATACGTTCTGGGGTGGTTTCAAAACGCCGCATCCACACCTGGATCTTCCTTCGCTCGTGTAAAAGCGTTTGCCCGGCACCGGGTGCGCTCAGCAGCGCGGTGTTGCTTTGTTAACTGCTCGGAACCCGGCACGAGTGAGAATTGCCTGCGAGCTGGAGGACCGAAGAGAACGTCCCGAGATCGCTGCTGCGCTCCTGGGCTCGGTACTACCTGTCCGTTAAGTGCCAGTACTGAGCCGCAAGTGCAGTATTTTCCTTCCGGCGTGTCCAGCGCCCATCGACCACAGGAAAGGGCGGCGGCGGCGCGGGTGCGCCTGCACTTCGAGGTCAGTGCTGCCTCGTGAGGAGACGGCAGGCGCTGGTTTGGCTCGTCGGTGGTGATGGGAGTTGCAAAAGCTGTATTTATTGTATATTATTGTGAATATTGGGAATGATGAGTGTGTGGTCCTTGGAAGATAAAACATGAGGAAGAGAGAAAAGCCTCAAGCAGTGTGTATATTCTTGTTCTTCTGTGAGCGAATGGGAAAACGTGTGTGCTCCAGTGGTAGAGGTAGTTGTTGGCAGCCAGAGTCTCCAGCCCCCGGGGTGAGGAGAGCTGCGTATTGCCCTCCCCAAGGAACAGATACATGTGGGAAGAATATTTGCTCTTGAATCTTGTCCGTTTCCTGGTAGAAGCGTGTACGTAGCTGAGAAGTCACTCGGAGCGAGCGCCAACGCGCGGGGAGTTCACAGAGACTGAGGGGAAAACGAAGCAGCAGGAACAGCTCGGAGCCGGTTTCATCCCCTCCGGGACGCGCGTTCCCAGGCGGGTGCCACGAGGAGACGTGACCGAGGGCACTTCAGTGTCGGGGCAGTTGCCGCCAACGCCACCTCTGGGGTTTCTTTCTGGTGCTTGGTCCCGGGGTTTGGGCTGGGGTGGAATCACCCAGTTCAAGCCCTTAAGGCTCTGGGTGGACTCGCAGCGCGGCCACACGTCTCCCCCGCAGGGGTTGGGGACTCGCGGTGCCCACGATGGCCGCAGCTACGGCTGCGAGTAGAACAACTGCTGCTGCTGTCGGGGAGCAGAACTGCTGCTGCTGGCTGTCCTCGCCGTCAGAGCGCTCAGGCGAGTGCAACGTATCCACGGTTCGGCCCTGGAAAGCGTGCTGTAAAGTTACTTGATACCTATTTATTACGATTAATTATTTATGATTACAAATAACAAAACTTTTAGTCAATTTACACCTTGCTGTGTAAATGAAGCATCTTATACAGGAGAAATGTCGCACCAATAAATCACCTCCATCCACTCTGGGTTTTTTTCTGAAGAATGGTATGAGCCCTGCACCCCAACGAGTTGGGGGGGGGCTTTTTGGCTTTGGGGTTTTTTGGGTTTTTTTTTTTTTTTTTACATTACTAGGAAGGAAGTGCTGCAGCTGTTGGACTGTAGCTCAAATGGCCTTTTAATTAAAGCTTTTCTAATCATCATTACTTCCTTGTGCTTTAAATGAACTTGACATTGTCTGTAATAGGCTTGTTTGTCAAAGCAAAGGTGGGTTTGTGATTCTTTTTTTTTTTAATATATATTCACTCAGAATGTAAAATTATACTAAACAATGGAAAAACTCTGGAGCTGGGTCTTAGTTCGAGCTCGGTGTGTGTCCATCTCGGTGCCAGTCACAGCATTAACCTGTTAAGTGCTCTTGGCCATGGAGTGTACACTCGCATAAAGGAGATTCTTAACATCCCCTGAGATGTATCGTGTCCTTATTTGGGGCTGGAAACCATGAAATGAATCCTCCCCTGCTGAAGCTGCGTTGATGCGGAGGATCAGAACCGCCAGAAACGGAGCTGCAGGTTATTGGCTTTTCAGTCCCACTTGTATGGGTTAAATACACCACATTTCCTATCTACTCAGAAATGTAAATATTTTGTACAAAAGGGAAAGCAAGCACAAGGATCACTAGTGTTTCTCTTAAGGGAGAAAGGGCGGAATTTCTCACGCCTGAGGCAGCCTGAGCCCCGCACTCCTTAGCTGTTTTTCTTACTAAGGCTTCCTGCCCCCAGGTGCCCTGTTCACCCACGAGAGGAGCCAGCTTAGCCCCCCTGCGCCTGCCAGAGGGAGGGTGGTCGCCACCTGTTTTTAAATACCTTTATTCTGCTTTTTCTTGCTTCCACCAAGCGCAAGCGTTTATTTAGACGTCTGTAAAAATGCCTTTCTTTTAGACACAAGCTCCCTTCAGCCCCCGTTAGGCTTCCAGGCTGCTGCTGGGGGACAGGGCTGGCAGCCGAGCCCAGGCCTCCGGTGCCAGCCCTGCCCTGGGAGGGCGACGGCCTCGGCCTCGTTAGCCCTGCTCCTGCCATCTGCTGTACCTGCTTAATTAGGCTGCTGCCCACAGTCATTAGTTAAAACCCACTGGCTCCAGCTTTTGCGTTCCCCATTCCCAAAGCCCAAGAGCTGCTCAGAGCCCTCGGGAAGCAAATGAACGAACCCCTCAGGTGGGCGGGAAGCGGGGGGGGGCACAGTTAACGAGGCTGAGCTGGGCATCGCAGGGGGGGTGGAGGGCAGTGGACGCACCCTCCCGTGGCCTCTGCCACCCCCATCACGTCACAGATTGTTACTGCACCGTGTTCTGGGACAGCATTAGATAAATTTTATGACAAGGAATTTAAAAAGCCTGGAGTAATAACAACATTAAAAAGCGCTTTACAAGACAGCCCCGGGCTCAGAGCTCATCCCCTGAGGACAATAATCCCCCTCCGTGTGTCCTGGGTCTGTCTGTCCCCCACCCCACCCCGAGGCACCGATGCCTTCGCCGGGCTGAGCCGTAGCCCCAGGGAGGCGTAAGATGAAGCTTCAGGAGGGGGTTCAGCTGCGCAGGCTCCAGTGCTGCTCTCGCTGCTGCAGGGGACCCCTGGGGCCAAACCACCCGAGTCA